CACTCACGTATAATTCCTCTAGCCATTATCATAAAAACTTGTGTGATGATTGCCGCCTTCCCGACATTACTACTGCATGAGTCGAGACAACGAGACTTGCAGTTCGCGTATCGGCCGTTCGTCTTAGATCGGTTATCCCACTATTATTTTTATACAACATTACTTTAGTTATAACAAGCATTTCTTTTTATAATATATCAACTCGGAATATTTTCATATATCCACTTTATAAAAATTTAAAACAGTAGGAACAGTTGCCTGATCATCATATAGTAAATATTTATTTTTTATTGTTATCTATAGCGAAAAAGTACCTAATATATATAAAATTATAATGCGTTATAATTTGCATATTTTATTGCAATTATAAACATGCTTCGTCCAATACCTATATTATCAACAATATGTGCGAGAATTTAAAAAAAAAAAACATCGCGACACGGTAGAACATATTATTCTAAACGTAGGCGTATATTGTCTACACCTACTGTATAATATGCGTATATTATAACGGTACTACGGTAGTATGGTGTTTGTGGCGGTGATATTATGTATACCTACTACTCGACGAATATTGCAGTTTTAACATTTACCCCTCGTCCCGTTTCTCTGAAATAATATATATATTATTTCCTTCACGTCCGCCACGTTTAATTTTATTATTGTACATAAAAGACTCATCGCATCATCTGATACGGGTTTTAAGTGATTCATACTCCCGCGCGTGTATAATATTCCGTTTTCTGTTTTATGAAAGTTCTACATAAATACGTAATATATATATACAATATACAATATACATATACACATAATAACGTTGTTTGGAAGTATAATGGCTTGTTTATACATTTTTGGAACGGCGTGTTTTCATTTTTTGTTCGTGTGCTACCTACTATATAAGAACAATTATTCATTTATCAACCCGAGTAATGTAGCCGTTTGTGAAAATTCTTTGGTTTTTACAGTTTTATGTTTATCGCTAGTCACGTTTCGTTTATATTCATCGATTATTATAGTAATTATAACTTAATTAAGTGTTATGAGCGATCACAATATTAAAATAATTTAAACATGATTCCCATACAGAAATTTTATAATTGCCTATGCAATAATAATATGATGATCCTACTATACCCGAATACCACGGATCCATAAATTGTGTGCGGTAACAGATCGGAGGATAATATTTATATTTACGTATATACATTATATTATATAGGTATACATATTAAACCTATATTATATAATCGGTTGCGTCTTTAAGACACTGTTAGTCGGCAATCAACTCTCTACCACAGAGCGTGTTTGCAGTTCGATATCGCATTATATACGAGCATAATTTGAGGTTAAGAAAAGCACCACCACCGTTTTCCGCGGTCTCCCGAGACGTTGGACTTATCCGGCCTTAATGGCGTTTGCTAAAAGGCTTAATACGACGGCGTTAGTGTATATGTACATCTTGTATAAATGAATTATGTATATATACTCACTGTTATTAGCGTTATGTTTAGTTTAACATGTATAGACTCGAAAGTGTACATAGGTAATATTATACGTTTGTAATAAAAACGACAAAGTTAGAACATGCAGTACCTATATATGGGTATATATATATATATGAATAATCGAGTATGATCAAACGAGATTTCCGCATCACGTTCAATAATTTATATATATATGTAGTAGGTACCGATTAATTATTTTAGTTCAAATGAAGCAATATCTCTTTTTCTCCATATACTTATTCATATGCGTGTGTGCGGAGGAGGGGGTTGTAGTATAACAATGGAACTTACATGCCAAACGGGTTCGATGTTTTCGTTTTGGTTTTTGCTTGTGTATATATATATATAATAATATAATATCTAATAACACAGTATAATGTATGAAACCCAAAACGCGCGTGCACACGTATGTACTACGCATTAGTGGGCCAAATCGGATTAGTCGTTGAGAAAACGCCATATGGGTACGCCGCCACCGCGATACCGATGGGATCCCTGTTCGTCGGGTTAACCGTCCGTGAACGCGCGTATACGTACACTTTGGCGGTGCACACCCCTTCGGCTCGCGAAGGGTTTGACTCGATAAACCAATTATTATATGCTTACGCTTATACATATCTATATATATGTATATTGTATTCTAACATTGCACGCCGCATATATATATATATATAAATATACACTGCAAGCTTGAACGGCGGTCATCGGTTTTTTGCGATGTAATCAATTTAAAAAAAAAATCTATACATTATAATATACACAATAATAATAAAATAATGCAAGCGAGAGAGGGTTGTTCTTGCGTGGTGTAAATATAAATTAAGTGTTCCGTTAGACGTGGTGACGATAAATACACCGCCCATTACATCGTCGTGTGTATATAATATAATGTAATTTATAAAATATGATGACGCAAAAACGTTTTAACACGGCCGAAACGGGAATGATATTATATATTGTGATTCGTACACGATTTATTGCATGCTGAAAGTTCGTTGCATTCCTATTCGCGTTGCATTTCATTTTCTTACCGTTGTAAGAAAATGTGAGTTAAGTCTATGCTGCATATAAATATTACATATCGTGCTGCATTTCGTTGCGGTGTAATTGTTTATGTTATTAAAATAACAATATTCGTGTAAAATATTATTATATTTAAAGTATACATTTAACGCATTCAAATTAATTTATTTCACAATAGTAAAATTATTAAAACAGATATAAATATATATAATATATATATAGGTACATAATGTGTACAAATACTTATACATTGTAACAGTTGAAAAGTAAAGTTCCATTCACACTTAGAGAAAATTAATTAAAAAATACACGCTTTGTAATGTTTACGGTATTGTTCTGAAAT